GGGTGTATGATAGGGCTTTTGGTTATCGAATGAAATATAATTTTTTTTAGCCATAGAGTCCAATTTCCCTTATTTTTATGGGCTAATTTTTTGTTTAAGAGTAAAGAGATAGTAGATGACAATTTTTAAGAGTTGTTAAAAAAACTATTTAAAAGTATTGGGTTTTTGAATTTTTTTACCAAGGCTCAAATATTAATCTACTAGTGGTTTGTCCGCGCTTCGCGCAGAATTTTTACCAATTTATATAATTTTATTATAAATTTTTGTTGTTAAATATCATTTTTATTGAAAAATAAATCTTATAAAATTGCTAATTGTGTCATGCCAAAGAGTTGGTTTATATTGTTTAATAATGTGTGATTGCATTGTGCATTTGATGAAATGAAATTTGGTCTTGTCAATGGATTAATAATAGTAGGGGGACAATATATTGCATTTTTTTACGTTAACAGCGTGGCCTATTGTAGTTGCATGTTTGAAGATAGTAAATAATAAGATGTGGTTTCAAACGAAGAAANGTCATGCCAAAGAGTTGGTTTATATTGTTTAATAATGTGTGATTGCATTGTGCATTTGATGAAATGAAATTTGGTCTTGTCAATGGATTAATAATAGTAGGGGGACAATATATTGCATTTTTTTACGTTAACAGCGTGGCCTATTGTAGTTGCATGTTTGAAGATAGTAAATAATAAGATGTGGTTTCAAACGAAGAAAACAACTTTTTTTATTTGCTTAAAAAGTAGCATAAGTTCATTAAGAACTATTTAGGTTGTTTCCCTAGCTATCTTTTAGCCTGCAGTAGAGTTTTTTTTTAAAAAAAAATAAACACCTTGTCAAAGTTTAGAGTCGACAATGGGGTGAGTTGAGATTTTTTAGAAATGATAACTCGCCTCTTGCTTGCGGGAAAGTTGATTAGTGAGCTACTGCGTTGGCAGGCTTTCCACTGCAGCTGTGTTCTCATTATGTTGTTTACAGATCTGACAAATTAATTTCATGAAAAACAATACTACAAATTTTTAACACACCTTTTTCTTGTTTAGTTATGTGGGATGGAGACATGTTGTTGATAGACAACCCCTCACTACTCTTACAATTCTCTAGCAATAGTTTTATATTTTATAACCTACACTACTTTGGTTTGTAAAACAAATGTCTATGATTTGTGGAAATGTGTAATTATTTTGTTAGTGGGTTGATGATAGCAGATGTATAATGATTTAAATGATGAGCTACTTGTGACAGAAAAATGATTCGCTATGGTGCATTGGCATTCCATATTACCTCAATTATTAAATCTAGCTGCTCTGAAACAAACTTATGAACTGCAATGTTGCATAACAATGAAAGAATATCTCACTCGGCTAGTAATCATTGGCTCTACATATGTCTACTTACTACAACGTCGATAATAATTATTTTGAAAGAAAATGTGAATGCTCTTCCTCTTGAGACTTCTCAATTGACATTAAAGGCATCCTTAACTCCAGAAATGTTGAAAATTTGAGCAAACATTGCTTGAGGGAATTTGTAAGTGATTAAGCCCCTCTAACCATATAGTTGGGAAATAACACTAAAGATACATTTTGCTGGTTTATCAATACAGCTGTTGAAAGACTTATTATTGGAATTTTGCGAACACTAACCAATTTTGACGTGTACAAATATAAATATAGTTGGTACTTCAGGTTCTATGTACCTGTTAGAAGTTTAGAGCAACCGCAATCAGCACATGCTATCATCTAACTACAAATGAAATGACTGTAAAGACTCATTCCAACAGATTACGGAAGTGAACCTTACCAGTGTGTCGAGACACACGCTGTATTACGGCAGACTCGAATTGACCTCTCAGTCAAGGCCAAAATCAGTGATCTTAATGACATCTTTAGAGATTAACTTTCTTCATCAGAGGAAAAATTACACATAATTCATTGAAAATGTTTAACTATGACTGCTAAAAAAAACTGGAAACTGAATAAAAATACCAATCACAGTGTGTACCTGGCCTTAGATTACTGTGGAAGTATTCACGCTGATGAATGCAAGAGAGGCCTTGAAAGACTTGAAAGCACTAATTTTGGATATCAGATTCCGCAAGAAGATTAATAGAATCATTCATAAGATACGAAACCTTCACTTCTCTCAGATTAATATATTCCTCCCAAGAGATATACTTATTGTTCATTATTTTCAACTGCTACCTGTCCATGAAAAATTTTAGTACCCTGAATCAAATACAAATAGTACAGAAGACTTGATCTCTCATAAAGAAAAACTTACAACTTCACCAGTCAGTTTATTGACACCTTGCCAAACATACCAAAAGTTCCATCACCAACTTCTTTGACACAATTATACCTAAAGTTGTATATGAGATTAAAAAAAATCTAACATGAACTATATAAATCAAGGGTTCAGAAGCTAAAGATGATATTTAAGAAATTCAAACCTACCTCTCCACCACCTCTGCAATAAAGTATCTCATTTAGTTGATGTATATAACTTCACTTCCAGTTGTTTCTATGGTAGAAAATTCAAATTTATCCCGCTGGGTATACATGCCGTTATTTACTTTGAAAATCAATCAATTTACCAGCAAGGAAAAAGAAAGACACCAAGAGAAGGCAAAACATATTGAGCACGCTATAAACCAACATGAAGGAACGTTCTGGGTTAGAAACCCACGCTTCACTCGAGGGGTTCGGAGACTCTAGGAAAAGACTATCAAAACTACGACATGTTTAAACTTAAAAAGATGCTTGGACATCCAGTATAAGGACTAAAACAATTTTTAAACTGTAAGGACCATGTTTAGATGAGGTCTGTAAAATACAAAGATGCTACACAAACTATCATGTTCAAAGAGTATGACGTAAAAGAACATCCATGACCTAAATATGGATTTTATAAAATCGATCATCTATTATTACTTTTACGGTGTTAATACTACTGCATCATTGTGTGCTGTTTACGATAATTATATAGAGTTGTATGAAGGCTGCCAAATGAAAACAGACCTGGAAAATTGTGATCGGGGTAACCAAGAGCATGAGTTCGTCGTAATTGCAAAACAAAAAGCTCTCCCTCAGGATGGGGTGGATAGATTCTACTAATAGCAACAGTGGTATCACCAAATCAAATTTTGGATTGCATCTTGTAGAATGAAATACTCTTAGCTCATAAAACCCTCCTTTTTTCAAGATGTGCTGAGCCGTGAACATTGATTGATGTTTGGATTAGCGAAGACTGATGAGGGGAAGTGAAATAAGATAACATCGAATTGAAAAAGTTGATAAATGAAAGCAGAAAAATGAATAACCAGTGTACCTTCCAATCGATGAGCACCATATCAACGCCTATCCACCTCACCGGCTTTCTTAACATTATTGGCCTCCCATAGACGCAGCAGGGTTTTCAAGATAATCTTCTACAATAGCCTCAACTCTGTAAAAAATTTTTTGGAAGAAGCCATGATAAGAGAGCTTGTTAGAGAAATAAATATGAAAAAGCTCAGAGTTAATCACATATCAATGCGAGGCTGAGGCGTTACCGTGTTGAGATCGTCGTTTTGGTTTCCTGAGCTGTGGCGGCATCTCGATGGAAGAGGCAACGGAGACGACCTAACTAAATTTTTGGCCTTTAAATATTGTAGCAAAGTGAGAAAAGCAGCCAAGCCCAATAAATTTTATAACGTACCAACATGGGTTTGAACAAAAAACCGGACGAAAGGCAATTGAATTAACGGATTACTCATTTGGTTAAGATGCTGATGTGTCATTTTTTGCCATTATCTCCATGCTGATGTGGCACAAGGAGAAGGGAGAAAACTTGGTTTTATTGTATAAGATGTTGAACCTTAAAGTTTACATGTTTATAAAACTAGCCAAAGTATAATTTTACAAAATTAAATATTTTAACAGGCCCATTTTGTATATATATAATCTTTTTTTTATGAAAAAACCGTTATATTGTTTTTAGGATAACATAAATTTTAACTATGATTAGAACAAATTTTTTTATTCTACAATTAGTTAGATTTTACTATATTTTTCTTCCATTTAGAGTTTTTAATATTAAATTTTTGGTTAAAAACATAATGACCGAAATTTCCTTTAACATATAGCCAAATTAATATTAATATTAATATTCATTTGCTTATCACCAAAAAATAAAAAACATCAACCATTAAAAGCCAACACATGAATGTACATGGATTTAAAATGTAAACCCAACACATGAACATAAATAGACAATATATATATATAGATGATTCTTTTTTCTTTTATATATTTAACTCATCCCGCGCAAGGACTTATCTTATCCTTGTATCCTTTAAAATATTTGTGATGTTTAACACTATGAGTTTGTGTAAATCGGTGTTGAGAAGCGATCAAAAGATCCAGAGCAATTTAAATTTGGGATGATAACAATATACCAAGTGCGTGAAATTGCAGCAGAGAAGATCTGAACTGCACAAACCTTCTATCTGCTACGAGAACCATCTCAGGAACTACATGTAACATGGGGATACACTGACAAATTAAGCCACCTATTCTTGATCCCCAAAACAAAGCAGCTTAGCTTTCTTGCATAAAGCCTTCAGACTATTTTCTGTTTGATAATAACCTTCTTGTTTTTTTTTTTTTGACTGGGGCTCTATCTTTTCGGCCTTTCTCTCTCCTATATCTTTTCTCTCGACGCTAAAGTTTAAATCTGTGTGGCTCCGGTAAGTCAGCGCGTGTGAGAGGCCGTGGTGACGCCGGGAGCTTTCTCCTTCTTCCCCATCATCTCTTTTTCCTTTTGCCTTTCATCCATGGCTTCCACTCTCTCCACCTTGCTCGTCGCTCTGTGTCTAGGATCTCGCTTGTTTCGCCTTTGCACGTGAGAAGCTCCGGCTCGGGTGGGGTTGCTGGTTGTTGGAGCGGTGGCGCGGATTTGGTGTGGTCACGGTTTTGAGAAGTCGGCTTTTAGGGTTTGTGAGGGGTACCTTTTGCCCCATGGAGAGTCAGCGGCACGTGGAGGCTGTTAGGTAGGCTTGCCGGTGGTCCGTGCTGGTGAGGGGAGTGCGGTGGCGGAGTTGTTCTCTCTCCTAGGCGTCTAGTTTTGGGTCGATTCTGATCTCTTCCTCCTTGAGAGCTTTGGAGATCTTTTTCTCGAAGGCGTTAGTAGTCTCTAGTCGCCGGCGTGTGTCGGGGCTCGAGAAGTTCTTCCGTGAGGTGCTGCTCCGGAGTGGTGTTGGAGGCGTCGTCCATGTCGTCTTCAAGGCGATGTTTTGGCCTTCCTCTCAATCTCTTTTCTTCTTCTTGTCTTCTTGTTGCTATCAGTCGGAGAGTTTTGTCGGCTTGCTCTCGATTGCTACGCTCATGTGTGGTCATTTCCAAGCTTGTTCCTTGCCACAGGATCAGCTTCTGACAGCTTAAGCAATTCTCTGTCCGGTTCTCGGATGAGACGATCGACGAGTGGCTTGTGTGTCTTTTGTTTTGTCAGAAGGACTTCTCTTCCCTCAGTGGCTTGGTCGGTGGTTGCGGCATTTCCCAGCACCGTGGCATGGTTGTGTTCGCGGTGATGTAATTACGCTAACGCTTTTGCAGGTCTTGGAGTGTTCTTTGGTGTCACTTGGTTGCGGCTGTCTCGAGCCCGTTTTGTAGTTTTATCCCGCTTGGCCTAGTGGCCCTTTCGGGTCCTTGTTCCGGGTGGGTTGGAGTGTTAGAGGGATTGGAGCGGTTTTCATTTGGGTATGGCTCTTATCTCTTCTTCTATTGCGATGGTGTTATAATGGTGGTGAAAGTTATGAGTTTCAAGGAGTTCCCCGAGAGCTAGCTACACTGAAGACGGCATGGGAGTTCCAGACATCTGAGGCAACGAGGAGAACCTCACGGTCTCATGGTTATCGTCAACGGCTGAGAACGGCAAAAGGGTCCTAAGAATTTCAAAAGCGGGCTATCGGAACGTGTCAGGTTTAGTGGGTGGGCGAAGGTAGCTTTGTAATACATTGACTTATGAGCTTTTGTTCAAATTGGACTTGTAACTGGATCCTAATTCCTGTTCTAACGGGTTGAAATTAATATAATATAATAATTTTATTTAAAAAAAAAAAAAAAACCTTCTTGTTTTTTCAATAGCACTTTTAAGACTATTAACTTATGTTTGATTATGGCATATGTAATGCCGTAATACTTGTCAAAATTTCCAATTTAAAACAACCACATCGTTAACAATTCACAATCAAAACAACAAAAAAGTTGTCTCATTGTTGTGAAGCTCAAACTCCATGGCAGTTGAGAAAACTCATGAATGTTAGAGATCCTATTTCCATTACATTGCACCTTATAGTAGAATAGTCACATCAAATACTTCGAGACCATCAACATTTGCAACTTGATGTTCCTCTAGAAGGCTTGGCAGTTGACGCATATAAACGCCGCTGTAAGAACTGACTGAAGAAAATTGTTACATGATCAGGAATCTAAGCATATACAGTAGTAACCAACAAAGATTGTTTCCCCAACTTTTTTGTTCCTCTTTGAATCAAAAGTTACATTGTATGTAAAAAGCAGAATTACATGTGAGTGTGATGGGTTTACAAGTAACTAATAATCATATTATAATAATTAAAAGTCCTTAAATCAACTAATCCGTGGTATGAATAAGATTTTGTATCTTCTAAATTTGTATTGATCTCCTCGATCAAAATTATGGTTTACTTCCTCCACTTTCCATATCTCTCCTTATAATCTCCAGCACCATCTCGTTCCACGTATCAACCGGCCCCGGCATGCACCAGTGCAAGCAGTCTTGTGGGGGAGGCTGACCATCCGGTCCACGTTTAGTGATCTTCTTGGGGTCAGGACTTCTATACGGACCAGGATGACCATCATGCCGATAACCAAAAGCCTCAGTGATATCCATTAGCTTCATCTTCTTCGTTACATTCACAAGTTTATCATCAGCCACAGCTCGATGAAACCCTCTTGCTTGCTGCTCATGCATTACCTCCGTGAACCCGTTTTTAACTAGCTTCCCAGGAGAGAGAGGCTCTTCTTTACCCGTACACGACCCACCAGTGTTCCAAGCACCGCCTTCGTAATGATCAGGAGACCAAGTCCGCAAGATGGTCAGACCCTTGTAGTCTTGGTGATTAGCTATTGCCTTCAAGATTGTTTCAACAGAGATCCCAAATGCTTCCACGTTGCTGACCTTTGCAGGCTTTGATTTGTCTGGCCACCATAGCTGGCCTCCAACAATCTCATCGTTTAAAATGTAGACAGATTGTTTAGCAAACCAGTGACCTGATGAAAGTACAACAACGTCGAACTTGGGAAGAGCTTCCATTATCCGCTCATCTGGTTGGTCGAGCTTGAGTTTCGTTACACCTTGTGGAGCAAAACTAAACGGTTCATTGAACTGATGGACGAGCCAAGATGACCACATCCGAGCTATCATTACTGAAGATGACCGGAAATACCATCTCTGCATCTTCCGGTTCCCACGGTTAACCGGAGTTTCCACCTGAAAATTAAAAAAAAAGAAGAAGATAAATTCATGAAGACATAACAAGAAACTCTTGAAGAAGAAGAAAGAAAAGGGACACTACTTACCTGCCAAAGAAGGCACATCATGGACTCCATCTGATTACGAGCCACAGAATCACCTATAAAAGCTAGCGTCTTGCCTCTCATGAGCTCCAGAAACTTCTTGGCATCGAACCGTGGAAGATCACACTGAGACGGTTTCCATCTCCAATTCTCATAGCCCTTGTCAGGTCTTCCATTGCCCTGACAGTTCTGCATCTGCGTCAGAAGAGGACAAGAGTTGTTCGTGTACATGGGTCCCATTGGATCATAAAACCAGTTACCATGAAACAGATCACATTCTGCAAAAAAAAAAAAAAAAAAACGGTCGAAACATAACTATGAAACTGAAGCCAATCATAAAACCAAGGACGTTACATAAAATGGAAACTGCCAACATAAATAGAAACTTAGTTCAAGACAACAACAAAAACCTGTTTCTAGTGAATCTTGTGTAGCTTCTTCATTAACGGGAACATTTGTAGACTTTCTTAAGTTGGTTTCTTTATCGGTTGGATCCAAAGAGATAGGAAGCACCTCCTTATCCTCTGCTCTATCTTGTGTCAATAACGGAGGTGAATTTGAGGTAGTTTTAAGAGATGGGTTTGGATCATTGTCGTCTGTGCTAGTACTATGGTGAAACTCCAGATGTTGAGTGGTCTCAGTGCCGTAGAGATAACCAGTAAGAGAAGAGCCAAGGGGATGCGAGAAGAGAAGCAGAGAAGCGAAGATGATGAAAGATGTTAACCCACCAATAGCAAAAGCAATTGAAGGAACTTTCCGAGGATACACGGTTCTTGAAAACCGAGGAGGTGATAAAGTCATCGTCTCTTTTCTGCATAAAAATAAAAAAAGAAACAGAGACAGATCATAATGTGTTTCCGCTTGTCATAACCATTTTCTGTTTATTTGTATCGATCTCGGATCTAGTTTGAGATCGGTTTGGAAAGAAAGGAATCAAAAGTAAAACTTACATTTAGAAGCAAAATCTGGACGAGAAAGAAGAAGAGAGATCGAAGAAGCTTTTGCAGAGGATCTGGGAGTTTGAGAAACAGAGATTGAGAGAAGCGTGTGGAAACAGAGATTAACAAAGTAATTGAAACTTGATTTTACTAAAATAAGCACTAAACCAAGTTTTGCTATTAAAAAAATGGTACAAGGTTCCGTAGATTTATTCATAATTAAAACTCTCCAGGAGAAGTAGTAAAGTCATACTTTGCTTGTTTAACTTACTAGAACTTTTTTGTCAAAATAAAATAACTATATTTTGTTAAACCTATATTTGGACCCAGCTTGGTTTTCATTCACAAACTATATTATTAAGGAGAAAATAACACTCCGGGTCACTTTTCTACTTACTAATATCATATTAGGTCACTTTCTTATACTCACACACTTTCTTTTAACTTTTCTCCAATTTTCGTTAGGAATACCAACTAAATGAAAAACATATGATAACTGGTGGTCCCCAATAATCACAACCTGTCTTTTTTTCTTTTTTTTTTCACCGACAATTCTATCTTAGTTTTCTTCTCTCCTTTCTCCCACCATATAACATTTTAACTCTCACTGACCTTTTGCATATTCCATCATTGTTAGTCTAACAGTTTAACAATCAAATTTCAATTTAACCTACTTTAGATATTATCTCTTTATAAATTAAACCTCATCCATCACCGTGCAAGTTTCTCATCGTCGTCTCGATCTTGTCAAACCTAACTCATCTTTTTTGGCATCACGACTTCACCTTTTTGCCATCTCTGTTTAGTAACGAGAAGCTCAAGAGCTTCAATGGACATTTTTGGCTTTTGCAATGTTTAGTCCTTCATGTTTTATATAATTTAGTCTCTAACCCCAAACTTTTCAATTGTGCAGACGTCGCCTCGAATTAACCCTCAAATTATTGATTGTTCATTAAATTTCTTCCTCATAATTGTGATAATGATTCTTCATCTTTTCATTGTAAAACCCCATTAAAATCTTTGACATATCAATAATTCACTCTTCTTTTCTATCCTTTATACATCCTAAAATATACATGTGTACACGTATGTATGAATGTGTCCACTTGCATAACCTCGTGTCAATGTGAAAACAATTTCTGCAAACCTCTCCCAATGATATTTTTCCATATGAGAACATGTGTTCCAAATAAAAGATTGTTTCTTGTGTACAATTTAGTTTATACACCATATACATGTATACATCAAAAGTTTGTGGTCAAATTGTACACATATAGGTGGACAATTTATGCAAGCCTCTCTCAAACTATATGCTTCCATATGAGAATATGTTTTCATATGAAAGATTATTTTTTGTGTAAATTTAGTTGTGTACACCATGTGACGTGTACATGTGTACATCGAACGTTTGTGGATTTGGATTATATGTTTAAGATTTATCATTTTTCAGTTCGTTATAATCAATTTTGATTTATTTAGACTTAGTGCATATATTTATTTAATTTCATAAACATAGGCTAGAGTGCACATTGGTAAATTTGCTTATAGATAACATTATTGTTTGTATACAATTTTGCTTGTACACATGTACATCAAAGATGAATCCAAAGAATTTGTTGTATGTGATAAATGGCAATCGGTGTACACATGATTTTAACAATCAGTGTACACATGATTTTAAATATGTCATTAACAATCGATATACACATGATAGGGACACAATCAAAGAAAAATGTTTATATCCAATGTTTTATATTATTTTTATGTACACAAATGTTTATGTACACAATTTTTTTGTCAACAATGTCCTTATACACATATTCCATTTGAAAATGAGAAAGTTCTTATACACATATTCCATTAAGTTGCAAGATTATTTGTTCGTGTACACTATTTTGTTTTTTTTGTCTTTGTACATGTAAATTGTTGTACATGTGGATAAGGTGAATTTTTGTGTACATAGTGTCGATTTTGTGTACATAAATTTTTATATTGCTCTTTAAATTTATATATCCATATTATAAGGGGTTGGATTGAACAATTAAAAGTTTCAGAACAATTAAAATGAGTGTACTGGGTCAAATTGAGAATAAATAAGCAATTAAAGGACCAAATGTAAAAAAGTGAGAATTGGCCATTGTTGATTGTGGCTTGCTAGTGCGGCGGATTACGAGCATCACAATCGCCACGAAATACTTTCCCTATACGAGGCGGATAAGTTACAGAGCACATGAAAGAGGAAGCTTGGCCGTGTTGATTCGTAGGGATGGATATAACGAACCACAATCGAGTTCCAAAAAGTTCGTCGGCGGTCACAGATGAGGACCAAACTGCGCAGCGAAGAAGAATTGTAACACTGCACCACTATGATTCTTAAAAAAAATTTGTGTTTTTTGTTTTGTTTATCAAATCAAGTGTCTGAAAAAAAAAGATTGAGGAAGAAGAGATTTGTGTTCAAAAAAATAGAAAGAAGAAGAAGAAACGTGACAAGTTAAAAAAGAAAGTGAAAGAAGAGAGATGAAAAGTAGTCCCTACAAATTATGATATAGTTAGAGTTTAGTTGATATAGAATGAGATAAGTTAAAAAAAGTGTTCAAGGAGCTGAAAGTGACTTATGGTGTAAGATGAACTCAAAAAGTGACCTTGAATGTTAATCTCTCATTTTTAAGTAAGTTACAATCTATCTATCTATCTTATTATATAAACTAGAGATTTTATCTGCGCTACACATGGATTATGTATTTTAAATTTATTAAATTTTTAGTTTTATAACGTACTATTTTGTTTGCTTATGACTTTATTTTAAAAATATATTTATCAGATATATTTTTTACCAGTTTTGATGAAATTTTTGCATATTTTTTTACTTAGTTTTCTGCTATAAATAAGAATATAACTTTCTATTTTTTGTTAATCTTTATCAAAACATTTTTGTTATTATAAATTAGATTTGAAATTTATAAAGCCAGGAAAATGAGTGATCTGACTAATACCTTAAAAATAAGGAATGTAATTTTCTATTTTTTTTTTGTAGCATTAAGCACCACTTATCTTTGAAATTTGTTAAAATTTTAGTTTATATTTACTGTGTACTATTTTATTTGAATATGCTTTTATTTTAAATAGATATTTATTAGTTATATTTTTACACGTTGTGACAAAAATTTTGCATAACTTCTTACTATGTTTTCTAGTATAAATTAGGAATATAACTTTCTAATTTTTTTTAATCTTTATCACAACACTTTTTTATCATCTATTAGATTTGCAATCTATAATATCAGGAAAGTGAGTAGTCTCACTAATACCTTAAAATAAGAAATGTAGTTTAGCATCCTTTTTCTAAACTGTTAATCTCTATTTTTCTCTTAGATTTGTTATTTTTTAGTCTTATAACTACTATGTAAAATTTTGTTTGAATATGTCTTTATTTATAAAAATAATATTGGTTATATTTTTAAACGGCTTGGCAAAAATTTTGCATAATTTCTTGTTTAGTTTTCTGCTATAATAACTTTCTAATTTCCATTTTTTAATCTTTAGTACAGAAGTTTTGTTATTATATATTTATTGGATATATTTAAAACCAAATAAAATGAGAAGTTCGACTAAGATATTAAAAAGATAATTTAATTTTGCATTCTTTTCCTATACCGTTAATCTCCACTTATCTCTTAAACTTGTTAAATTTTTAGTTTTGTAGCTATAGTATAACCTCTTTAAATTAATACTATAAATTAATATACACTTAAAATATCTATAAATAATATAATTTTATAGTTCTAAATTGAGTTTTTGGTTCATTTAGTATATTGATAAATTAATAATCTCTATAAATTAATAAAAAATATGTACAATTTTGTTTGACTATGTCTTTATTTCAAATATTTTTTTAATAGTTATATTTTAACAGTTTGATGAAATTTTTTGCATAATTTTTTACTTAGTTTTCTGCTATAAATTGGGAATATTATTTTCTAGTTTTTGTTTTTGTTATTATCAATTAGATTTTAAATCTATAAAATCAGGAAAAGTGAGAAATCTAATTTTTGTTACATTGATTATTCTATTCCGGTCTATTTACCTAGGTTATCTCAAATTTGAATAGAATAGCCGTTTTGATGTAAAAAAAAATACTAACACCTTATTAAAAAAGAATGTAGTTTTTCAGTGACGGTAGCCGGATCTGAAAATTTGATTTGGTATTTATGAGTTCTTGTTAAATCGATCTCCAGAGGAACATAAAAGAATGGAAGAAATCGATTTCCCCAGCATGGCGAATTAGGTTAACTCATGTAACTTAAAGTTTGGGCCGAATAGGCTGAACCCAAACAATCAAAAAATTAAACTTTAAAGCCCAAACTGAATCTGATTATTTTTGTTGACGTGGCATCATGAGAGTTGAGTGTATTTAACTTCTTACTATGTTTTCTAATATAAATTATGAATATAAATTTCTAATTTTTTTAATCTTTATCACAACACTTTTTTATCATATATTAGATTTGCATTCTATAATATCAGGAAAATAAGTAGTCTCACTAATACCTTAAAATAAGGAATGTAGTTTAGCATTCTTTTTCTAAACTGTTAATCTCTATTTTTATTTTAAATTTGTTATTTTTAATCTTATAACTACTATTGTAAAATTTTGTTTGGATATGTCTTTATTTATAAATAAAATATTGGTTATATTTTTAAACCAAATAAAATTAGAAGTTCGACTAAGACATTAAAAAGATAATTTATTTTTGCACTTTTTTCTATACCGTTAATCTCCACTTATCTCTTAAACTTGTTAAATTTTTAGTTTTGTAGCTAAAGTATAACCTCTTTAAATTAATACTCTATAAATTAATATACACTTAAAATATCTATAAAATAATATAATTTTATAGTTCCAAATTGAGTTTTTGGTTCATTTAGTATATCGATAAATTAATAATCTATACTAATTAATAAAAATTTACGTACAATTTTGTTTGACTATGTCTTTATTTTAAGGGAAAATTGCCAAATATAACTCAAAACTTGATTTGAAATGCAAAAGTAAACCCAAACTTGAATCAAATGCAAAAGTAACTTAAAAGGCTATTGAAATTACAACCAACTCCTTGTGAACAAACAAAAAACGCGAATTTTTTTTACGTTTCTAGCCCTCGTAAGTTGTCTGCCCAG